GCCTCTGGCCACTGAAATGCATCATTCCCATCAGCTCAGGGAATTCAAGGAGGGATTATAGTGCTCAGTATACAGCCCTGTCCAGCAGCATCTCTCAATATTCAAGTAAGAATGATCAGTGTCATGAAATGAGTCCCTGTGACGTTGTTGGCTTTGAATCTGGAAATTACTTACTGGAGAAGTGTGAGAAATCAGAGCACCTAAGTTCAAATTCAGCCAAAACTTTTGGCTTTGCTTGGTTCAAATTCTACACAGAGGAGAAAAGAAGCAAGGAGATATTGAGAAAGGAAAAAAATTATAAATACATAAATGATACCATTCCGTCTCAAGAGCTGACATGTTATTGAAGCAACACACAGTTTTCAAAAACTAATTAGTCAAATTGGAAACATTTTCCCATAAACTATTGAGAGTTCCACTGGGAACTCTCTTCAATGAGAGTTGCATATTGACAACAACTTTTCAGGTCCTCGCCAGGCAGTATACCAAAAAAAACCCCAAACTACCAAAAAAAAAACCCACCTTCAAACAAAACAACAAAAAGTCACCTATGGATTGCTGTACATAGGAGACAAGTTTGGCATTTTCCACTATTCCAAAACTCTCAACAAGTGCTCTATTTTTTTTCCTCAGCATCCCAAAACACAGATACTAAGTAATTTACAGCTGCAAACAGGGTTTGAGTGGAAATCATCACACAGTTCCAAACTCTGGAATTGCTACAGTTTCTTTTAGTATTCTGACCCTTTCCTTATGAAAACAAGCTCCAGAAAAGAAAAAAAACCCGAACAGATTAAACTCATGAGAAGGCAACTCAAGGTAATGTACATATTTTCACTGAAAAGGCACCTGCTGCAGGGTATCTTGTCACAAGGTGGGCACTGATGCATCGTTGCATTCAGAAGTAGCTCCCATCATGGCCCCAGCAAGGATCAGCACCGAGGCAGGGAAAAAGTAGGCCTGATGTAGCTTTTCAAATTGATGCTGCTTGTGGAGAGGAACAAACAGCTCGTCTCCAACTGAGGGGCTGACTCTCGTCATTTATTCATGGCCAGCCCCCTGCCTGGATGGAAATAAAAATGTTTCAAAGATGACTGTGTGGGGGAGCTGGAGGACAGCTTGGAGGCACACCGAGGTTAGCACATTAATTTTTTATCTCTGGAGACTGGGTATCCAATTATGCTTAGAGTACACAAACAGCTTTGACTGGTCTCTCCAGTAGAGATTTATCCACATCATAAAATCTGCAATGGAACTGGGCACAACGGGCTGATGCCATGAAATAAGGTACACAGGTGGTTTTGCAGGTCAGATGCACAAGCTAGCAGAGTGACAGGAGGGCACAGGACTGCATCCTTGTTAACTACGTGTACTGCAGGACGGACCAACCTGCACACGGCAGCTAGGCCAGCGACAGCCTGCACAATGTGCTTTATTTAGGATTGTCATTGGCCAAAGTGCTTGCAGGCATGTGTACTCCACAGCTGTCTGTAGAGCCAACGTTTCACATAGCAAATTGCCACTGAAAACTCTTCTCTTTTAAAGGAGAGGAAGTTTTTCTCCATTTAGACACACTATCCTATTCTCCCAGGAATTAAGGAAGAGCATTTATACTAGTACACTCATTCACACACACATTTCAATAGATACAAGTCTAATGCAATTCCTATATCAGAAGTGTCTCAAAATTTGTGAGCACCAGCTGCCCTGAGAGCTGGCCTGTACCCATGGAGTGAGATGGAATAAAACAGCAGGTGTTTTGTGGCAGGCTTGGATGCACCCTGGGCTCACAAATCTCACGCTCTTGGTGCCAACATGTGGAGGAAAAGCCAGCAGAAAAAAAGGCTTAGAATGGTGTGGGATCATTTCTTTTTATCAGTGGAGCTGAGGAAGGAAGAGGGGTGTTGACTTTTTAAAGGGTTTTCTATAGCTTCTTTTTCACAGTTTCATACTCAGGTAAAAAAAATCAGAGTAGGTAAAAAATAAACGTGTGTGTAGGCAGACGAAAGACTAGGCACTGAGGAAGGGCTATCTATCTGCGTCAGAGGGCTAGATAAGACATACAAACAAAGCAACTAAAGCTCAAACAAAGCACAGGCTAAGATGTTTTAGGAAAGGCAAAGGCCAGAGAAGACTGTTGAACTATCTTCCATGTTGCAAAGGGTAAACTATAGGTGAGGGAGAAATTCAGAAAGAGAGAGAGATGTAAATAAACAAATCTCCTACAAGAGTCAAGGACAGCAAGATGTGCCAAGGAGGTGAGACTTGGGGCATGGGCCAGTTCTCGTTCTTTGATACACATCTATTCAGTGGTTCTCAGTTTCAGCTAGATTCCTCCTATCTACATCTCTTTTCCAGTCCCCAGATAATTTATTGAGCTACCCAATTGGTCTGTTCATGAGAAGAAGAGTAAAGATACAGGGGACTGGGTGTGCAGAAAGACAAGAGGCCATCAGCTCTTGAGCTGGCACCAGCCAGGGCATCAATAGCTGAATTTTCTGGAAGCCCTGCTCCAGAAAGCTCCCTCCTGCATCAGCACGGCTGCTGTCACCACAGGTACTGCAAGGAGCAGAGGCTGCAGAGGAGACGCGGGCACAAAGGAAGGAAGTTCATACTGCGGCTGCCCGCATGAACTTTGCTGACCCAGTGCTCACCTCCCACAGTACGGCAAATTCCAAATGGCTGGTTTGAATTTGCGTTGCTTTTTCTAAATCAGGCTGCTTATATCTCTCTGACACACAGCTAAGCAAATAACCAGACCCTGCTCTATACCATATCTCTGGTCTTCCTGTTCAGTAGGTTGCGGATTAGCTGTTTGGATTAACATCCCCCCCGCCTTCCCTCCCTCCCTCCCTTCGCCCCCACCCCCCAAGCCCATGCAGAGAGGATTCCTGAAGCCCGAGCCCTGCGATACTGCAGACCTGTCAAATCTAATTCATAACACATGCCTAGCAGTTCTTAGGGGAGAGGAAGGATCTGATGCCCTGGCTCCCCACCATCCCCCTGTACAAAGAGACCATTTAATGACTGCACATTAGCAATGTGGACAATTAGCATTCACATGGAAGATAAACGGCAGCATAAATTAAATATAGCCAAGTGAAAGAGCAAAGATGCAAGATCTGAGCTCAAGGCTGTAAACAAGTAAACAGGCAAAAAGGAGCAAACAGCCACTGTGACAGCTAAGCCATTTGGGAGAGTTACCTTCCGGCTTCTGGGACTTTCTCCAGGGGTGATCTTCACATTTGCATGGCTGTTGCCCCTACGTCACTGGCTCGTGGCTGGTTGTTAAGCAGATTATTTCTGCTCAGGAATCTGGATCTCGGAGTGGTCTACCCCACTGGTCCTAAACTTCTACCTGTATGGGGGTCTGTGCAGCAGCAGCTTCCCTCTGCCACATGCATCACACAGGAGCTTTGGAGGAACACAAGCCCAAGCAGCTCCTGTTCTATCCTCTCCCATTGTGCAGAGTACACCTTTCTTTCCACGGGTGAAGGCCAGCTGCTGCTAACCTTTCCACAGCGTTTCTAGCTCCACTTCTTGCTAATTTCTATAATTTCCTAAGCACCAGAAACATAAAGACTGAGACTGTCCCTGGCCTCTGTGACAAACTGAAGGGTAGGGGACACTACCCTTCTTTGTTTGGGGGTTTGTGCAAGGCCATTATCAATATTAATTCAATACAGATTTGCAATATGCCCCTCAGATATGCAACTATTACTGACTACTGCAGACACAGTGAAAAAAAAAACCAACAGAGAAGATGTAAATGCTAAGTAAACAAAAGCTACTGGCTGAACACTGACATTCTCCAGCCTGCTCAAGCAGTCGCTCTTAGTGCATTGACAGCTCAAGTTTATCAACAGCTGGAGGAGTCAAAATTACTTTTGCTGTGAACCTACAAAACATGTGAATAACTAAAAGGTAGAGCATAAAAATGACAGAAACATAGGGACTGCCAAATGGGATCACACTAAACGGCCCTCCAAGCTCAGGCACTGGCTAGTAGCAGATGCTTTGGAGGAAGGAAACCCCCTCCCATACCTCCCTGGGGACAATTATCAATTATCCTGCTTAGAAAGGAAATGTTTTCCTACCTCCATATTTCTCCCAGTTCTTCTTAATGTATTAGAAAGTGTTTGCCTTGATACTTTTCCCCATAAGCATTTTATTGCTTTGTCCACATTGTTCATTACTTTGAACTATAACGACACAGTTCACATGGTGATCTGAAAGGACTTTCTGAAAGTGAACAAAGCCATCTACACAAATCCCAAGGTGAAAGCAACCATCACATAGTATTGCACACTGGAAAACTGAGAAACAGAGTCTTGGAGACTTGCAAAACTCAATAATAAAACACAGTCTCCTTGACTCCCAGTTCTGTGCCTAAGAAGCAGAAGAAGGACAGTGTGGGGAATCTAGGCATATATCTCTCCTGTCATGTTCCAGCTCTCCTCCTTGCAGATAAGTACTGATGCTTTTTCATAGATTTTCCCAAACTGTAACTAAGAAGTGGCTTTTGGTAAAGTTAAGGGTAAACTGGGGTGGAAATGCAGGGATAAGGAGGACAGGTGCTGTGAATGTCATACCTAAAAAACTGAGACATGGACAAATGTTTCTTATTCAAAGGCAAAAAAAAGACAGCCCCCTCAAACAGGATGTGTATTTCCTTGACATCCCTGCTAACAGCCACTGAGAGGCTGCTTGATGATGGGTGGATTGGGCATCTCTTCTTTCCCCCCCTCTCCTTGCCACCTCTTCCCCACAGGAGCAGTAATGGAAAAGTGACTTGCTGCAGAGATAATGCTGGGTTTGAAATGAATTCCTGACTAGCTGAGCCAGCACCCGTGTGAGCTGCGGCTGATTAGCTCCATGCATCCAAGTCCCAATCACTCACAACGGAGCCAGGCAATCATGCCAGCCTCTGTGAGGCAAAGACAGGGTGGAGACAACATCTCTGAAAAGGATCTCAAAGGCAAAGGGAAAATACTACTCACGTTTGTGGTTTTCGTTTCTGTGGACAGGGGAAGAACGGGTCTCCTGCTCACGGGCTTCATCACCCTCTTCACTGGCGAGGTGGGTGTGAGCATAGTGGTAGCTCAGCCCAGGCCTGTTCTTGTAACGCTTGCCACAGACTGGGAAGAAAGGAGATATGAGGGAGGGGAAGAGAGAACAGAAACATCAGTGTGATCTGCGACAGTGGCAGCATCCTCTCAAATAATGCTCCCTTCTCCCCCGAGAGCAGCACCACACACTCCACGCGCCTGCCCGAAACTCTTCCAACCAGCGTTGCTGAAAGGTGACAGAAGGGCAGCTCTTCGTCCCTGCAGCCGGTCATCCCCACACAAGCTTTCCTCCCACCATGCTGCCAGCAGTCCTTCCTACAGGCCTAGGCAACCGCACACTCAGTCTCCGCAGCTCGTAGAGCCCTAATCCTCTCTGCTGAGATTACTAACAAGATTGCACATAAAATTAAACGAAATGCCAGTTCCAATGTTGGTGCTGTACAATGCACAGCAATGCGAACTGAGAAGAAAGGACATTATTTTCTTCATTATTGATCTTTGAGAAAAGGAAACAGTATTATTCTATATTATATAGAAAGAAGGCTTTCTATAAAAGGGTAATAAATAGCTTTATTTGCAGATTCCCAGTCAAGACAAGGAGATGGAAATCATCCACAGTTTCTTGCTAGAAGAACATTTAGTAGTGGTATATTGTGTCCAGGTAAATTTCATATTCAGCATCCCAATAAATATTACAATGTGTGACAGAGAGTCCTCCTTCTGAACTTTTGTTTATTTTAGGACTAAGTCAACAGATATTAAGAACGAGATCAAATAATTCAGGGTGATGAAAGGTCCAGATTTTCACAGGGAGCTCACCACAAGGGCAAGCTTCACCATAAGATTCATTACATGCAAATTCAGCTTCTATAAAGTTTTTAATTCATATTATTGCCTCTAAAAGTTATCTCTTTTCATCTCCAAAGCAGTCTCTGAATTTTAATTTTCTTTTATACAGCTATTTCGTCCACCAAATACAATTATTGCCATTTTAAAAGATTAGGAAACAAAGGCAAAGAAGCTTAGTGCCATTCCTGCAAATTTTTACTCCCAGCCACATTTTCAGTCACTTTATTGGCTTTTTTAACCTCAAGGATTTCACACAGGAATAGATGTCATGGTCAGTAGTCTGTCCTGCACAGCTTACTTAGAAAAGCGAAGGAAGTGGTGCCTGAAGAGAGAACAGAACCCAGCAGTCCCTATTTCTCTGTCTTGTTTTCAGACCCCTTGAAAAAATTTCCAAGCAGGAAATCACCATCCACTCCTAAACACTTCACTCAGCCTCGATACTGAAAATGTATCCTGCAATGTGTATAGATTCTTACTTTCCACTCCTCAGACATCTGAGTCTAGGAATGTCATAAGGCTCCATAAACAAAAAAAAAAAAATCAAAAAAGCCTCACCCCAGTTATTCATTTACATTTAAGTAAAACTTCCATTATTATACTTTTTTGCTACTGCTCCAGAATGTTGTCCAAGTGATGGACAACATTCTGGAACAGATGACAGAAAACTGTAAATGAAAGTCTAGCATGATAATATATTTCATTCTACATTTCTTCTAGCTGGTTTGCAAACTCCCTCAAGGAAAATATTTTGCCCTATTAGAAACATGTAAAACAACCTCATGATATAAATGAGTGATCCGGAACATTAGATACTTTTATCCCAGTTTTCTCCATTCTGCAAGACAATGATCATGCAGTCATCATAACAGGACAAAAGCTTTTTCCAAATGTAATGTGTACTTAGCCACAGATTTTTTTAAGCCTTTGAATGCCCTTGATTTAGATGTGATAATTCCTGCAGGAGGGTAGGCGGCGGAAAGTTAGGGAGAAATAAAATGCCCAGATACTTATGCACATCCATTCTTTAAAGCACCTGCCCTCATTTCATATGTAAACCTAACTCTATTGCCAGACATTTCAAACAACTAGACTGCTCTTAGATGAATGCTCTCCACAAAATGTCAGTTTCTTCTAGTACCAGCTATGTATTCTTCTAATGCATTCTGGAGAAACTCCTCCTCTGTGGTCCTACAGAGCAAAGGACACGCAGTGGAACAGATGCTGTCAGCAAGTCAAACAGCAAAGCATCCACAGTTCTCTACAACTTTGTTTCTGCTTTTTGAATATTGCAAAAAGTGTTAACACAAAAGTAACATCAAACCGGAGACAGCTACAAAATGCTCACTGTTTAAACTATTTCAGAAAGATAACCCCCTCTAATTACACAAATGTTACAGCGTTTCTTAGAATGGTGAGAGATGGATTTACATTTCTAGCAGATTGAGTATCGTACTAAGCACTCTACTCTATCCCGTTTACTTGTGTGTGTTTGAAGATGAAAGTTAAAAAATAATTCTCCTGCTATGAATTACTGATACTGCTCAAAAACTTCTGTCTACTTAATCTCTTTTCAGAGCACTGTCACCTGATCAGTGCTGTACTGGCAAAGGGGAAGGCACTTGGAGTTAATAGCGGCACGATATTTACTATCCAGCTATATCTTGTTCTTACATAGCCTGATTCTGCATTACTGCTAACCTAGCTGCAAAATCAAATAAGCCTAAAACTTAATTCCATTTGCCTATTTCAGCGAGTTTTAAATTTCAAAACAAAAATATTTCAAAAAATTCTACCAGACTTCATTTCATTCAGCTCTACCTGAAAACATACAGCAACTGTAGCTCTACGGTGCTACCTTACAAAAGCACCATGTGCTTGAACACAGGCCTCATGCGTCTTTCTCCCTCAATGCACAAAAGGAAACTTGCATTCCCTGCAGGAAGTCCAAAGGCTGAGGCCTTGCCTCCATTCCCTACAGGATCCTGCAGGGATTTTAGCTGCAGAGTTTAGGATGGCATAAGAAATCAGATGGGTCTGCAGACATACCCTTCTCCAGCAAAAAAAAAAGTATCAGCTCACCAGGAAAAAAACAGCAAGTATTGATATGAACTGGGGCAGTAGTAAATCTGCAGCTAAGCCCTTCCCACAGCCAAAACTCTTGCAGCTGGCCTTCAAGGGTGGCAGCGAGCTGAGGCACGCCTAGCTACAAAGAAATTTGGAGGGCTTTATGACCAGTGCTGAGGCAAAGGAGTTCTGTTTATACAGTCCTAGCAGATCCTTTGTTAAGACCAAAGATGTGCAGCTTCCAGCAGCTTTTTTTCTTGGCGACTAGACTTTTCCACCTTTCAAATTCATGTTCTGTCATGGAAAAAGTCTAAAGTGATGCCTTGAGTTGAAACTACAGAGATTTCCTATTCCCCAAGCAAATTAGACTCCTGCAGGGAAAAAAGGGTATCATGGCATTAGTCAGGCAAAAAGACCACTGCCTTCAGTAAGACTTTGCTAGAATAAAAGCTAAGTCAGGACTTCATGGTTTCTCCACAGATTGATCTTCCCGAATTCGCCCTGATGTCTTATTCTCCAGATTTATTCATCTGCCATCACTGTGCTAAGAAGCAGTTTCTACAAAAGGGCGATAGTTAATAAACACTTAGCTCTTATATAACTCTTCCCACTGCAAGACTGGCTTTTCAAACATTAATTAATCTTCCCCCACATTCCTGAGTGGGAAATACTATTCTTATTTCACTTTTGAAAAAAAGAGAACCACAGAGGGGTTAAGTGACTTGCCCACACAGTGATCTTTTGTCATTACCAGGATGGGGATTCATGAGTTCCAGCATCCAGACCAGTGCTCACACCACATCTTTCTCATGCTCCAAGCTGACAAAAGCATAATGAGAACTGGTTCCCCCAGTCTGAAATGTAGGCTGGTGATTACGTTCTTAACACTATGCAGCTCACACATAGCAAGTGAGAGTGTGTCTTTTGTAAACTTTGCCGAGTGGCCTTGCCTTTCTTTGAGCAGCTTTGACTTTTTTCGTATTTAATTTTCCTTGCTGGATAGGCTCATCATCCTTGCGTGTGGTAGATTTCATCCTGCATCTAACACTGGCAAGTTGACTTGATCTTTAATTAGGTAGCCGAGCTCAATGGAAACAGTGGGAGTTTGTAGAACGTAACCTGCTCCAATTCCTTCTGCATTCAAAGCATATATTTTGCTATAACCTGATATGAATGCCGTCTTAGGAACAAGCTCAGTAAGTAAGCAGTAGTACAGCGGTGCAGATCAAATGGCACAAATAGGAGAAGAAGAATTTTATTAGGCCACCAGACACTCTCCTATGATGAACCTTACTTTCCTTCCAATTTGAAGACTGAAACGAAGACGTTACCCAACTATGTCATGGGGGGAAAACATAATTTGCAGACAGTTTAATCACAAGCATTCGATGTTTCATAAAAGAGAGCTCAGTTCTAAGTTCTGGCCTGTAACAGTCTACAACTCTTTGGATAAGTAAATTCTCACTCGGTTTACGTTTCTCAATGAGTAAAAGTAATATAAAGCACTTTCCCTGCTTTAAAAGGGGATTCGAAATTCGTGACTTAAAAGACTTCCTCATCAAATATTTAATGGCTGTGTTGCTGTCATTTTGAAATCGTTACACATTTGGTCCTTGGCAGGCTGTGAGCTATGTTCCAGCCAGCTCTCCACATACATTTTGCACAATCTGTCACCAGTATGAGACAGAAGGAAACAATCCATGTTTTTAGTGGAAACAGGAAATTGGGGGAGTATATGTGTTTGTTTTTTTTTGTCACTGAATCTTGCCCCCCTCATTGTCTATCTTTGCTTTTCTCCTTTGTCTCCTGTTCTTTCTTCTCAGCTGGGCTGTGTTGAATGCTAAATCTTTAGTTAACTGCTGGCAGGCAGTCATCCCCCAAAGTTATCTTCCTGTCCCACCATTCGCTCCATTCCAAAAAAAACATTCCTTGTTTTGCACTGGTTTGGTAACATAATTTTCCCTTCTACAGCTAGGTCCATGCTCTGGCACATCTAGAAATCTCAAATGCCAACAGCGTAGTTTGACCTCCGCTGATGGAAAGGCATTACATTTGTCCCTCTTTGATCAGTACTGTCATCATGTACACCTCCAGTATTAGAGCAGCTATTTAGTAACCCATTTCATAGGGGATTTTCTGAAGGTAGAAAATAATCC